AAAAAAATTGCAAAGATGCACAATTACGGCATTGCATTCTCTGACATTTTATGAAGTTTACGTGCTTAATTTATAACTCGATATAGTATTCTACGTGTAGATAAAAGTGTGCACTTTAATTTAATATAAAAATCATTAAAATTCGTTTGCTAAAAGTATTAAAAATATTTATCTGAACTTTTCAAAAAAATTGCAAAGATGCACAATCTACAGCACTGCATTCTCGGACATTATTTGAAGTTAACATGCTAAATTTATAACTCGACATGGTGTTCTACGCGTAGACAAAAGAGTGTACTTTAATTTAATATAAAAATTATTAAAATCCGCTTGCAATAAGTATAAAAAATTGTTTTCGAACTTTTTTTTTATTGCAATGTATAATCAATCCAAACAGATCAACTTTTGTTTAAATAATTTTTTTGTTAGGTTATCGCAAGTACTTTATAAATCGTGACTAGAGTTATGTGGGACACCCTGTATATATGTATAATATCAATGTATGTACATATACGTTTACCATAAAAATAAATTTAAAAAAATGGTCTCGTTTCTCATCTGTCGTACTTGTTTCTCTTTGAAATATTAAAATCATTAATTAGCCAGCATATTACATAACATTATTAACATGTTCATACATAGAATTATATATACATACATCTCTAACACATACTAATTAAATATTAAAAATAATATACATTCATTCTCTCTTCTTACTCTTGCACTCATATTTCTTTTTTCTTCCTTTTTTTTTTCTTTTTTTTTTTTATAATTATTTTAATAATTATTTTTATTTTCTTTTTAAAATGAACTAATATGAAACTATAAAATAAAAAAGGATTACTTAAGAAAAAATCAATGAAACAATTTGAATAACAACGCAATGAGAGTTGCATGCAATAATATTATCTATCATCGTTTCCATTTAATTTCATGCTTTACAAATAATAATAATAATAATAATAATAATAATTATAATGAAATGTGCAGTGAAATGAGGGAGTAACATAAAAACGGTAAAACCAATGTAACGAAAATTTTATTAAATCGAGTTTACGAAGATACATAGAGAAATAAAATATATATATATATGATATATATAACGTAAAATTATATATAAATGATATTTAAATAAGAAAAATAACTATTAGAATTCGCGTTTAATGAAAATTAAAATGTATATTATAAATTGTGTGCATTTGATGTATTATGGTGATCACAAAAAATGGTCCAAGTTATATATATATATACATAATAAAATATATATTTAATAAAAATAACGATTGATAGAGATTTAATTAACAAGTCAGACCATTTTCATAAACCACCATAGAAAAAAAAAAAACACGTGTTTTAAAAACGAGTGCATGGTGATACTAAAATGTTAAAAGAATAAAATGGGGATAAAAAAGAAGAAGAAAAAGATGTTCGAACAGATTTCATAAATATTACGTCACGTTTCTAGTATGTGTGATCTTAT